ATATATGTATATACATATTTATATCCAAGCAAATTGTAAACATTTTCATTTAGGAATTTCCTAAGATTTTATCTATTGCTTGAACTGTTTGATTCATTCCCTCGATTTGTTTAAACTAGCCAACAAAGTTGATTGACAGTGAGTGGGCAAATATTATCATAGTTTCGACTCGATCGGATAATACTAGAGTATTAGTCTTAGTTGATCTGAATCTGATAACTAGCTCTGGTGATTTCTTTCTGAAGCTACAACTTCTCATTTTAAGAGATATTTGCAGCCCTTGAGAATTCACTAAACAGCGGAACTAGACTAACTCCCACATTTATCTCTCCTTTCTCTCTCTCTCTCTCTTTCTCTCTTTTCTGCTTGGTCTGCCTCTGTCATCCTGTCGCTTATTCTCTTTCTTCTTGGTCTCTCTCTCTTTCACTCCCTATCTCTCACTTTTGTCCCCCCTCTCAACTCACTCTCTCGTTTCTCTCCGCATCTGTTCTGTCTCTCTATCATTCTCTGTTAACTCTCTAGGTATCTCTGCTCTCTCTGTCTCTTTGTCAGTTATCTACTTTCTCTGTCTCTCTCTCTCTCCTTCCCTCTCTTTCTCTCTATCTCCATCTCTTTCTCTGTTCTGTATATCTCTTTTCTCTCCATCTTCCCTCTCTTCCCTTCTCCTCTCTCTTTCCCTCTCTTAGATATAACTCCAGATTATACTCGCTTTACACTTTATGAACGAATATAAAATATTCAAAACCTCAATAAGTTACGTATCTAATGGATTAACAGAATATTTAGAAAGTACTACGTAGGGTATGTATACACATATATTTAGGATACATAAATTTCGTTGATGCTTTATAGAACTTTTACTACTTGGAATTTAATGCGCTACAAACTGAACTTGAAAGGCCAGAAAGTGTCTTCAGGTGTAGATATGATTATTTGAATATATATAAATATATAGGATGTTAAGTATGTGCTGAGTACACAAATATATTAGAATAATATAGATCTAGGCAAAAACGTTGCGAATAACGAGTGTGAGACATGTCGACACAATTGTTTCAAAATAGCAACTGAAACGTCAAATGGACAGAAATTGGGCAAAAGGGGCACACTGACAAGGGGGCGCGGCTGGGCGAATGAGTCATCGAAATAGTCGTGGGCATCAGTTTTGAGGCTGTCAGTGCAGGATGCAAGTGCAAGTGCAAGTACAATGCCAGCACTAGAGACTTACAGATAAATCGAGAAAACAAATACTATATGGATATATGTGTATGTATGTATGTGTATATAGGCTGGCGCAGCAGCTCTGGGCACTGGCTCAACTAACAGTTGCTTGAAAGTTGTTCTCTGGAAGGAACTTATTTTGCCGAAAATACTTTCAATCCTTTTCTGTATTGTGGAACCGTCTTCGTATACGTGATATGCGCACTATTGTTTATACGTAACGCAAGTAATGTAACGGTTTTACTTACAAAATATTATATTGTATATAAATTGTATAAAAAATACATATTGCATAATAATAAATACATATATGTACATTCGATAATCATCAGCCATTTGAATTTCCTCCAAGGCTTGTGTAACACGTGGCGTATGCGCAATGCGATAAAAATTGCGCATACGCAGCGTTAGCCGACACATAAGGCTATTGSGCCCATGTTTATTATTAAAATCGTTGATTCTCTTACTTTGTTGTGGTATATAGCTATATATGTATATATAGTACACTCTATATGCATATATCATATATACGTATACATATACATATACAAATACATATATGTACATATACACACTTCTATGTTGGTTAGGCAAAAAGTTGCCTTCAGCTCTTCAGCGCCAAATGACGCAAAATGTGTTGAGCCAAAGCGAAATTTTTGTTATTATTATTATTTTTGTTTTTGCTTTTAGCTCTTGTTTTGCACTTATGTTGATGTATTCACAAGAGGTGTACTTGAAAAGTTTGGCGAATGTTGCATTTACGAGGGTTACGCATAATCGATTTTCGAGTATCGATTTTAGATTTTCGATTCACATGATCTTTTGGCTTTCATCCCTCTTATGCGGCGAGTGCGTCCTAAACTGCAGAGACCTGTGCAAGGACGACGCTATGAGGAGACCAAGACTCTTGTAGCTGATGGGGATTACTTAAGGAGGAGATAACTTTTTGGACAGACCTCGCTTAGCCTGCCGTTTCCTCGCGATTTCATCAAACGCTCCATATGGCACGTTCTGGCCTCGTTGGCCTTAGCGGCTCTCTCATTCTCTCTCTCCCTGATCTATGGCAAAATACAATCACTCGAGTTCAACACGCTGAACTCTTTGTATATACATATGTGTATGAAGAAATGGCAAAGAAATCAAAACAGAAATGCAAAAGCGAACAAAATTCACAAAATGTACAAAATTGGAAATGCCAATGAAATTCCAATGCGCACACATCTCAGCGATCTATAAGCAATGTGTATACATCCCATATGTATGTATGTATGTACTATATGCTATATCCGACAGTGAGAAATCGTTCAAGAAACTCTTGTAAGACATGTGTAAATATTTACGTTTCAATTGTGGCCCGCAGTGCGAATCATGGGCCAAAATGACGTCGACGACCGACGCAAGAATTTTGGAATTTGGCATGCTCGAAGGACGCCTAGTTCGCCATACCCTGTACACACAGACAATCAATAGGGTATGAGTTGAAATAAAACGGTTTTTGTGAGTCAGCCTTACCCCTTTCAAAATGCATCTTATACATATACATATATATGATATACGAGATATGTCAGATATCACATACATATATAGTGTAGATATAGAAGGTACATATCAATTTGTGATCAGCTTAATTCGTCCTTTATTTGCCTGATATTCACTCGTAGTTTCCGTTGCAGCTTGAAGTGTAATCAATCGATAACTATCGGTCAGATTCGCTCTGCCGCTGATTTAATCGTGAAAAATAAATTAATATAAATTAAAAATTTCAGACTTAAAAAAAAATTATGTAAAAACATTTGAAGGGTATAGTTTAGTCAGCATGTCAAAGCTAAGCAATCTCTTCTTGTTCTTATTGACATTGTTTCTCTCCTTCTCTTTCCTCTTCTCAGTCGCCTACTCGCTCTTCTTGTTGTTGTGTACGTAACACCGAAAATTCGAGTGGGCATTCGCATTCGCATTTCTTATTGGAATTTCTAGATGAATCAGCTGGCGCCCGAATCCAGCTGCGAAGGCGAATGCAATTTGCATTCAGCATTCGCTTGGTTCCACTTGAGTAAGTTAGCCAAGTAAATTGCTCTGCACATGCCTTCAGCAATAGCAGCAGAACGTAATCATCTTGAATTTTTGTTTTATTTTACTGAGTTCAGAATAACCAAACAGTTTTAAAATCTATATTTAAAATTATATGTTGATTAATCATAAGATTTTCTTGAATCGCATCGATTTTATTTACTTTTTCGTGGTCAATTTTCACGTAGGCAATTTATTGCCCTAGCGATGTAATTTCATGTTAGCTTTACATCTTTATTTCGCACACATTCCGTGCATGGTGTTGCCATCTGTGCAGAAAGGCATCTGAACTTGAATGCTAGTGACGTCACAGCTCCATAGCAAAACATGATCGAATGTAAACACACCTAAACACCCACACACGCCCATTTGCCCGGGCATGGCGTCATAGTTTGCCACTTGCTCTATTTTTAAAACGGAAAATTCTAATTTCGGCAGCGCCATGTGGCGGATGAGTAAAGTAAATAATAATAATTTAGAAGCAACCCAATAGAAGTGATCTACGTGGGGCTGTACGACTAGGAGATACCACGCACTAAACTGATGCATTTATAATGCACTTATTCGATGCTAGAAATTCGTACGAGCTAAAATTTAGTTAGCCCATAACGGTAAACCAATGTACCCGACTTGCTAATTGGTATAGGCAGGGTGTAGGGTATACAATGACCACTGAAGCTGACCTTAATCTTTAAGTTAAGAGATAACCTTCTGGCTGGACTGCAACTGAACTGATTGTGAATAAAAAACAGCTGGGAAAGCTCATTCAAATTCCAATTGTCGCTCGCCTGTGTCAGCGAAATGACTCTTTCGCTATCGCTGCTCATTTCTGCCGTGTGCATCGTCGTGACGCTGGCCGGGATTAGCTGGCTGCCTTTGCTGGCGTGGCTGCGTCGACGTCGCCGCACCTACGAGTTGGCAGCCCAGCTGCCAGGACCACGCGATCTACCGCTACTCGGACATTTTCACATGTTTTTCGGCTTGGAGCCGTGGCAAGTGCCGCAGCTGATTGCCCAGCTGGCGGAGCAATATGATGGCACCTTCAAGCTCAAAATGGGCAGCAACTTTAGCCTGATGATGTTCCAGCCACGGGACATGGAAGTTGTTCTCGGCAGTAGCCAGCTGCTCGACAAGGCTATCGAGTATAGCTTTCTACACGGCTGGCTCAACGATGGACTGCTCCTGAGTAGCGGGCAAAAATGGCATCGCCGTCGCAAGATCATCACGCCCGCCTTCCATTTCCGCATCCTAGAGCCGTATGTGGAGATCTTTGATAGGCAAACTCGAGTGCTCATTCGCAAGTGGCAGCAGACCCTTGGCCATTCCTTCGACCTGGGACATGATGTGCATCTGTTCACGCTGGATGTCATTTGTGGTGAGTGGGATATCATTCTGAATGGTTCTATTCAATTCCTTCTTCTCATTCTTTGTTGTAGTATCTTAGTGGAAACTGTTGTTGTGGGTTTTTTATACCCATTCAGGAAGTATAGAGTCTATTCGTTTAGAGCTGTGTCGGTCTGTATAACGGTAAACAATTCTGCCACCACTCTGACCTTGCTTCCCCCGATAAGCTCTCGTGGGGTGTGGCAAATCAGAAAATAGTATATCCGTTATAAGGGAACTAACTCGTGTGGCAAATCGGAAAACGTTATATCTTTCAAATACTTGATCTCTTAAAATTTTAACCAGCTTACGTTGCATTCTAACTTTTAATTTTGCCAAAAATTAAATTAAGAGACGGGACAAATCAGGTTTGTGAATGGAATTAGCTGCAACCGAGAATTAGAGAGCCAATTTTATGGTTTAATTTTTATTTGATTCCGCTGAGATTAATAGGTAATTCCCATCAAATTCAATCTTAAACAACTGACCAGTACGTCTGCTTATTATATAACCAGACCTGTGCATAGTCACTAACTATACCTATTAAATCTATGCTCGTATATCACTCCTTGCAAATATCAGCTCATCTATCAGCTGAAGTTCAAGCGCCTTATCGAGCTTTGGGTACTCCACCGGCTTGCCATGCTCTTCAGTTGATTGGCAAGGCACCACATGAGCAGACACTGGGTCATTACATAGACGTATATGCCAAGGATGACACGCCCAAAGTGTGGCTAGGTCCGGAGCTCAACGTCCTCATGGGAGATCCCAAGGATCTGGAGTCGTCCTTGGCACGGTTCGTTTCAATGAGAAGGCCAGCGAGTACAACGCCCTCGAGCTCAAGGAGGGCCTCCTCATCAGTACTGGATGCAAGTGGCAAAAACGTCGCAAGATCATTACACCTGCCTTCCACTTCAGGATTCTCGAAGAATTTTCGATCTATCCGAATGGATCGACCTCTTCACTATGGACACCATTTGTCGTAGGTAGACGAGATGTCTCCAGCGCGACTGCTGCTGCTCCAATTTATAGCCTATCCCAATCTAAGCTCTTTTCAATGTCAAGCACTGATAGAGATATTAATGTGTTCTTTCGCAAGCATTAAGATAACATAACTGTAAATATAGAATCTATTTGTCTTCATATTCTGATTAGCAGCAATTGACACTCAATGGGAAGCAGTATTCGCTTCTAATCTAAGCAGCTCGTTTATTATTTATGAATCCTCTAATCAGCACTTGGAATTTGACCAATATACCATAATTTCTCTCCACCTCTCTGTCCCGCGGCTTTTTGCCATAGAAACCGCCATGGGAGTCTCCACCAACGCACAGACGAATGCCGACTCGGATTACGTTCGTGCAGTGAAGACCATTTCGATGGTGCTGCACAAGCGCATGTTCAACATCTTCTATCGCTTCGATCTGACCTACATGCTAACTCCTCTGGCTAGAGCCGAGCGTCGAGCCTTGAAAGTGCTGCACAGCTTTACAGAGAA